TCACCAACCACTGCATCGACCTATCCGTTCTGTCACCGTTAGTGAAACAAAGAGTCACTAATCTAGGAGTGATACTTGACCCTTCTCTGAAACTCAACAATTATGTAAATATGATTGTTAAATCCTGCTTTTTCCAGCTGAGGCGACTGTCTAAGCTGAAGCCCATATTGTCCAAAAATAACCTGGAGACAGTAATTCATGCATTCATTACATCCAGGCTCGACTATTGCAACTCACTCCTTTTTGGTATCAGTCAGTCCTCCATAGCTAGACTTCAACTGGTCCAAAATGCAGCAGCCCGGTTTTTGACCAGCACAAGCAAAAGAGAGCACATTACACCTGTTTTGGCCTCCCTACACTGGCTTCCGGTTCACCTTCGAATCAAATTCAAAATACTCTTGTATGTCTATAAATCACTAAACAGCTCTGGCCCCTCCTATCTTACTGATCTGCTCCAGCCGTCCCACCACGTTCTCTCAGATCAGCAGAACAGTTGCTCCTAACAGTCCCAGGAACCCGTCTCAAGCGCAGAGGTGACAGGGCCTTCTCTGTAGCAGGCCCAAGACTTTGGAATGAGTTACCTCTGCTCGTTAGACAGGCCCCCTCCCTCACATTTTTTAAATCTCGCTTAAAAACACACTTTTATTCCCTGGCTTTCAGCACTGTGTGATCTGTGCTGAGTCTGTGTGCATCACACTGTGTTGGTCATGTTGCGGTTGTTGTTGTTATCCATTATTGTTTTTGTTGGTTTCTACTTTTTGGTGTCCTGTTATGTAATCTGTTGCTGTGTGCTTGTTCTGTTTGTCCCTGTACAGCACTTTGGTGTGCTTTGTCACTGTTTAAAGTGCTTTATAAATAAATTGGTATGGTATGGTATGGTATCACTCAAGAATGTTTACGGATCTCACCGGAGGGAACTGGTTGATTATTCCATCCTTATCAGAACTCTTACAGTGTCCTCGAGTGCATCCTTGGACTTTGCTCACCGCTCTCATCGTCTCTCCCCCCTCTGCGGAATGTCTATGTCACTATGTGCTTGTGTGTGTGAGGTGTTTTTTTAATATTAGAGTTTTTCTTCTCAATCAAGAAGAAAAAAATTTATAGGAATTATTTTGCCTCCAATTCCTACATGTTCCAGTTTCACTAGTTTTTGTCTGTCTAAGCAGATCTCACTTGTAAATGAGTCTTTTTTTTTTTTTTTTCATTTAGCCTTTATTTATACAGGTAGTCTCATTGAGCCACGAGAACTCATTTTCAAGAGAGACCTGTTTAGGGAGCACATGGTGGGGGTTAAGGGCCTTGCTCATGGGCCCAGAGTGGGGCGAATGAGGGTGGGGGCAAGTGTGGGTGTTTCACCTACCCCACCCACAATTTTGATGTTGTCGGGGCCGGGGCGTGAACCGGCAATCTTTGGATCACAAGCCCACCTCTCTAACCTCTGCGCCACCACTCCCCACATTGAGTCTTTGAGGCTCAATGTGATATATCTGTCTAAATAAAGGTTGAATGAATATAAAATGAAAAGTAAATAAAAGGAATGTTTCTCAATTTTCTTGTTTTTTGAACCCGTCCAGAGGACCAGACTTAACTTTTTTTAGATTTTTTTTACCTGGATTATTGAGCATGCATCAGGATAAATAAAAGTAGTGATATAAAACAAAATAAAAACTAGCTACATTATGAAATGAGGTAAAATATGATGGAGATGTGAAAGGTCACAAATGTTTTTTCACTTATTAATGTCAAATGTTATATAACTAATGTTATCTTGTGTGTGTTAAGGGTTGTTTTGACTGGACTGAGTGCTGCAGAAGCATGGAGCCTTTCACCCAAATAAGCAAGGAGGCTGCAAGTCGTCTGACCTTGCCTTTGTCTGACAACCTTATAAAAAGACCCTTCCTCATGCTCTTTTTAAGCAGACTTGGAGATGAAGTGCCATGTAAACATCTTGCCTGCTCTGCTTCTTCTTGCAAGATTAAACCTGGGATTAAGAAAATTATCTACCTGCTCCTGTGTGGCATATTTATTTAATGAACTATTAAAAGTATAATATTAAATTATCCTAACAAAATACTAAAAACAGTCTGCATTTATTTTTGCACTGAACATAACACTTGTTTAAAATCCCTTAGAGCAGACATGGGCAACATAAGGCCCGCGGGCCAAAAGTGGTCCTTGGACAATCTCCATCAGGCCTCCAATATCATTAGTTAATAAAAACAACACAACTTTTTAAATAAAGATTGGTTAAAAAAGCAGCAATTTATCAATGAGACTTAAGGAAATTTAAATTAAACATCTTATGTAAAAGTAAAAAAACAAAAACATTTTTAAGTCATCGTGTTTCCAGAACTAGACTGAACCTTAAAGACATAGAAACATAAATACAGGTCCTTCTCAAAAAATTAGCATATTGTGATAAAGGCCATTATTTTCCATAATGTAATGATCAAAATGAGACTTTCATATATTTCAGATTCATTGCACACCAACTGAAATATTTCAG